GCAAGCCCCTTCGCCACGACAAGGCAGTGATCCATGAAGGGATTTCTGCCATACCCATCAGTTTTAGCAACCATTCTTGTATTGTTGGTAATGTCTGGGTTTTCCAAAATTGTGCATAAAGAAGTCTTGCTGCAGTAATCATGTATTGAGTAATTCTAATAAGATGTTTGCCTATCTGAAAGTCCATTATCCCCAACAGGAATAATTCTGGTTTAAATGGAATCTGTATTTGTAGTATGCTCTGCATCAACATTTGTATTTGAATCCAAAATTTCTTTGCAATTTTACATGTCCACCACATATGGTAAAACGACCCCTCAGGACTCCTGCTATTCCAATTCCAATTCCTAAATCATCATCTTCTTCCCCTTCTCTTCCTACTACTCAATAGCATCCAGAGGAGCTCTACTCCCTAACGTGAATCTAGCTGTCTCACCAAACCTGGAAGCTAGAAATAAAAGTATTATTGTGTGTAAATTTCTTCATTGTCTGGGCTAAAATAATTAAGGAAAAAGGAAAAAATTGCCAGCCTGTATGTTAGACACCAACAACACTATCGTGTGTGTGTGTGTGTGAGAAAACTAAAGAAAAAAATTACACTGGCTATCCTCTAGGTCTACTTATCTCACCTATAGAACCTTGTAGTGGCAGGGCTGAACCAGTAAGGTAATAGGCTGAAGGTTTCAAACTTCTCCCAGAATGTCATGGTGTTTTCCCAGCCTGACCCCTCCTACCTTGATGTAGCTCCTTGGTATCACTTATTTTCCAGGGGTGCTTGGCATCCTCCCCATAACTCCAGTCCACCAGAGAGATTGAGTTACCACAGCCCTGTGCTGCCATCCTGATATATGAAAAGATAAAAATGAGGAAAACCTGACATAATTTCTGTAGAACAATTTCCTGGCTGTGTAGCGTAGAGAAATGTGGCTAGAGGTTTCAATTCTTCCTCTTCCTTTTTGGGTAATAAAGTAGCAGGTCATAAACAAAAACAAACTGTAGTAAGAGAAACAATTAAGGGTGTTTCTGGTCACTGGTTAAACATAACAGTCTGGTGCTGGTCTAGTACAAATGGCATGACTTCCTTTGTGAAATGGGGAATGCTACAATTTAATAACACAGAGTACAAAAATATTCTAAATAAATTTAATATGTTCTTGCCCACTCTAAGGTATGGATGAACAAAGGCTGACATTAAGCATCCAATTCCCTATAATTGTCCAGAAAGATAAAATATTAAACTTAAGCCCAGAAATAAGGATCACAATTCTAATGCAATATCTCCCAGTAATGTTTTTTCCTATTCCTATAGAGATAGTTGTCTCTGGAAACATGCTCCCTCTGCTCCAAGACTTTTCTTGGAAATCCCACGTTAATCTTAATTAATTAATTTTTATTTTACAGCCAAAAAGCCCGAAAATACTTTAATCAGAGACTAGAGAAAAACAGTGGTAGTTTTCTCCTCTCCACCTTGCCATACCATTACTGGCTCTATTTTCCTGAATTCTACCACTAGTTTTTAAAAGAATAAGTTTTATTGTATACAGGAGAGGAAGGGGTTAAAGCATCTGTCTCTGTCTACATACCTAAGATCTCTCTCCCTCTTAAATGATGGTGGAAACATGGATGTCAGTGAATGTGGGTCAGAGTTTGAAGCCTGTACTTTTACTACAATTCCCAAATACATCTTACAAATCTAGTACGGGTAGTCCTTGCTTAATTACCACAATTGGGACTGGAACTTAGGTTGCTAAGTGATGCGGTTGTTAAGTGAAATATCACGTGACTGGACCCAATTTTCATGACCTTTTTTGTGGCAGTTGTTAAGCAAATCACACAGTCATTAAGTGAATCGCGCAGGTTCCCATTGATTTTGCTTGCCAGAAGCCAGCTGGGAAGGTCACAAATGGTGATCACAGAGCCCTGGGATGCTGCAACCATCCTAAGTGTGAGCTGGTTGTCAAGTGCCCAGATTGTGATCATGTGGCTGTGGGGGTGCTGCAATGGTCATAACTTTGGGCACCAGTCATAAGTCACTTTTAGCACTGTTGTAACTTAGAACGGTTGCAAAACAGTCATTAAGCAAGGACTACCTGTATCATGAGTATGTGTAATTAGTGAGGGAAGGACTTGATAGTCAAAAGTAACAAGTGGGACTTTCCACTAGAACTAGAAAAGTTGTAGTAACAGCACCTTCAAAAATGGAATGGTGGTATGGAGGAAACTCTCAAAATTGATCTTCATCACTGACATATTCAGAAGGATATTTTAAAAGCTTATAGGACTAATCTATATGTGTTTGTTGGATTTTAAGGTCACTAAATTAAACTTACTAGGGATTTGAATGTGTTTCCCAGAGGTATACCAAGCACTGTTGTACCCTTGGAGTGTTGTAGAATTTCAATAATATAAAGTGCCACATGGAAATCTGTAAGAAGTGTCTATATCAGCATACAATTTTATTCAAGTTTCCTATTTTATACCACAATTTGTGTTAATGTTAGAATATATTACAAAATAACTGTGCTTAATGTTGCTAGTATCTGTGAAATATCCTGCAGTTTTTCTGAGATAAACTTCCATATTCAGATTATTGAATTTGTTTTTATTTTATTTTCACTTTTAATATTCTGTAAGGCAAGAAACAAGAATACAAGATAACATCCCAAAACAGTATATCTCAAAATTCAGTCATTTGAAGTATCTGAATAGAGTAGTATTATAGTATGGATGCTAAATCAAAAAAAGCCCAAGAAGCTATTGTGGTTATGATTTCTGGGCTTGCTATGAGGAGATGCCAACATGTGAGATATTCTTACATCTAAGGTGCAATATGCTGGTTTGCTTAATATTTTCACGGATGTCTGTTCTGTTCTGTTCCATGTCCCTTTGCCCTCTGGTGAAATCCTAAAAGATGACAAGCAGAGATATTATGAACAGATGTTGGCAACAGCTGAAAGAAATCTGGAAGCAGAAAGGCAAATTGTGTCCCAGCTGCATGCTGATCTTAATGAATTGCAAAGGAAATATGATGAAATTAAGCAAGAGGCAATAAATGTGAATGGTCTACTGAAGCTGCAGAAGCAAGCTGATATTAAGACCCTTCAGGATGAAAACCACATCAAAGGGCAGATCCTGCAAAGGCTTACACATGAAAATGAAGTGGCCAGAAAAAAACTGGATGAAGAAAAGAAGCGTACACAAACCCTCTCGTCTCAGGTCTCTGTCCTGTTGCATAGACACTTTTATAACAGACTTCCCAAATTGATCCTGCAAACTGGGAATTCAGGGAGTTGCAGGTCTATCCCATTTGGATGGTGAAAGGTTGGGTTAGGATTAGTTGTGCCTGCCTAAAGACACTATAAAAATGAAACCCTTTAAAACAATTCTGCTAATCTGGCTAACAGCCAGTAACAACTTGTGTGTAGATTTTAACACTGGTTTTGGCAACGAGTGAAAGGAAATACCAAGTGGAAGGGAACTGATTGTAGCATGTACATCTTCAACCTTCTGGTCTAAATTAACATTGCCTTAAATGTTGTCAAAGATGCTATAGTGTGGAGAGAGAGCATTTGTACTGAGACATCCATTCTATCTAGACCTGCCATTGAAGGCTACCTCTGCATTTGGAACAATATAGCTGGATCAGATGAGGAGGAATTGGGAGGGACCAGAGTTAAGAAAAGGAGACATTACTCCTCTTCATGCTGTCACTTTTTTCATTATAGTAGTAGTAAAATGTAGCAGAATAAGAGCAAAATAAAGCCAAGAAAATGTCTTGTATCTATTATTTGGAATTTTTTTAATGTACTGATTGTAACATAATCTTCTGCTCATGTTCTATAGGTTGAAGTGCTCCACAGGTCTTTGCTAAAACAGCAAGAAGAACACACAAGAATAGCAGCTTTGGAACAACAGGTACTAAATTATGTTCCCTGCTATTTTGTAGCACATGGCAAAGATCTATGTGATTCATTTTAACATCAAAAATTTGTCCTAATTTAGAGATAGTGTACATTTTTGTTGTCCAGAAACCATAATATTATTAATGTAATTTGTCATAGTGACCACTCATATTTAAGTTCTGAACAGAATATAAATTTAAAATTCATTCAGAATTAATTGTATCCCCTTGTAAGTCTGTCTCTACTTCTTTTATCAAACTATTCCTCCTTTTTATCTATAAAAAAGTAAATTTTATTTTGTTTGTGTATAGATAGAAGTTTAAATGGAACACTTAATTATCAAACAGGAAAAAAGCATTTAGTTAGGAGACCATTTCATTTTTCTTTTCTTCTAGATCCAGTCATGCACATCAGACTTTGAGAATGAAAAGCTAGATCGCCAGAACCTGCAACACCAGTTGAACAAAGTCCTTAAGGAACTGAGGAAGGCAAGAGACCAAATTACTCGTCTTGAGCCCTCAGTAAGTACTGCTGGATTAATTAAAGACTGAATCTTTACTAGAGTTATGCAGAGATCCAGCTTGAAGGGCAAAATGAGATTCGGAGCACATATGGGTGTACTTGTAGCATCTGTCAGGAACACCGTAACCCAAATGACAGCTGCTCAGTCTTGGGGAAAGGCTGAATGTGGCTCTGAGTCACATTTTGCCCTTCAAATCTGGATCTCTGCACAGTCCTAATATATACTTTCCTTTTCCCACACATAGCTTGTACGTTGAGCTGTGATTTTTGTTGAGTTTGTATTTTATTTGCCAGGTGTGCTGTTTTTAAATCAATTTCACACACCCTGTCCCAACTTCTGATTATTTGATGCTATATAGACTACTCTGAGAACCTTTGCCTTCGGTTTTAAAACAGCATCTTGTGGAGAATTTAGAAACGCGGTAGATACGTCAAAAGAGTCAGACAGACTTCCCTTGATACCCATTACTAGATTCTACTACATTCCAGTCAGATATCCTTTTTTAATTCAATTATATTTAGATATTTTGACCCCTAAAGAAATACTGTTGGCCTGCATTATAAAGTATATACTGTCATATTTAAATGCAACAGTTTTTTTTTCAGAAGCTTCCAGAACGTGGTGGATGTTTAGAAGTCTTAGACAACTTCCAGTCCACTTTTGAAGACAAGTTGATAATACAAGACAAACGTTCTTCACCAAAACGTGCAAGTCTTCTGGATGAAAGTTTCCTGGAATGCCCCAAATGTAAAACCCAATATCCTACAAGCCAGCATAGGGAATTATTAGCTCATATTGATTTCTGTGCAGTTTAAGTCCTAGAGGAAGCCTGTAGCTACATCTCAATACACCCATGTAATTTAACTGAAAATAATAGCTTTTTAAAAACAACTCATGAAGATGCTAAAGGACTACAGTTCATATTTCAGCTAAAACATTTGTGCTGTAATTCATTGTTTATGAAGGACTAGGCAGTAAACAACTTTGAGCACTGTATCTTGAATTCTGAACTACTGATTGTGTTTGCACTCTCGGGCAAGAAAGTTATTTTACTTTCTGTAGGCTAATGCATCATGCAAATTTTCAATTACTGCCACTTTTACTTTACTGGATTAACATACGATTCTTTGCCTTGCCTACAGAAATGCATTTTGACATTTCTGTTTTCCAAGGCCCTCTAACATTTGCAAAAAGGAAAATGTTTTTAATACCCAATGAGCTGTGAGCATGTAGTCCACATGAGGGAATGCATGGAGACAGTTGGGTGTAAGAGGAAAAAAAATAAAGTAGCCCAACTTCTAATTTCCGCTGAACTTTTCTTTGCAAAAAGAAAGCAAGTCCCAAATTCAGAACATCAGGGTGTGTCTTGACCATTGCCTCCATTTTGTTTGAGATATGCTCTCGTTTGCACTTGTTATCCCTGAGCTGAAAGCTTAGGGATATAACTTATCAGGGAACCTGTATAAGGAAATGCTTTTTAAAATAATAAAATGGAATTGGCTATGCCAGCGATACTCTACATATGTCTTTTTTAAATATCAGGAATGGCTGTACCTGCAGTTGTTAGTTACTCCCTCTTGAATTTATTGTACCTCCTGTGCTGCTCCTTTGTTTCTAATCTCTACTGTGCTATTTCTTCAGTATGATATAGGCTGTAGTCATTGCTTCTTAAAATTTGATTGGATTGTATCCCCTTCTTTAGGAGACACTGTGTATTTATGGCTTATAAAGCTATTACTAAACTAGATATGAGCAATAACCACCACACAGATATTTCACATCAATCTGAAAATAATTACTGTTACCAAAATCATTGGCACTCAGATCATTAATTACCATGCAAATTGGGTGGAAAGCTTCTTGTATGCCAAGGAGATATGGATAAAATGAAAGGGAGAAAGTGGTCTTGGGTCAGTCCTCTCTGTGCTACAGAATAACCATGAACATCAGAGTCATGATCACACCAACTATACTCTGTTCTGTATTAGTCATCTGCTATGCAGAATATGTTTTTCTATGAGTTTCACCAGATAATTCTGCTAGTGGAGAGGAGAGAGATTTCCAGGCCTGGGAATTGAAATTCATGTATCATAAAGGTAGACAACGTGTGACCTACAGCAATATGTAGCCATTTGATTCCATTTTTCTGAAGTTTTTTCTTTATCCACAATTTCTGAAAATTGATGTCACTGTTGCATGGGGCGGGGGGGGGTGTGTGCCTTTGAGTCAGTCTTGATTCCTGGCAACTGCCTGGACAAGTCCCTGGAGTTTTCCTGGTAAGATTTTTTGGAAGCAGTTTGCCACTGCCTTCGTCTAAGGCTGAGAGAAAGTGACTGACCCAAAGTCACTCAACTGTCTTTGTGCCTAAGGTAGGACTAGAGTTCACAGTCTCTTGCTTTCTAGCCTAGCGCCTTTAAGCAATACACCAAACTGGATCTCAAAATTCCCAAATAGGCTAACATAACTTTAAAAATCCTCCACCACATTCAGGAAAATCTAGAAAATCTTTGTATATGTGTAATGCAACCCCATTCACATTCCAGAATCACCCTGCCCATTACAGTTTCTTTGGTAGAGTTGATCATAAATTAAGACATTACTTTTACACCTGAAACTAATTTTTGCTCTTTGTACTTTACCAAACATAATCAGTATCTATCCATAAAAATCAGGATGCATTGCATATTTTTTATGGATTAGTTATGATGCATAGATTTTGTTAACACTGCTTATGTAGCTTCTTTTCCTCCCAAATTACTCCATGAATACATCAACTGCATAAGAATGTGCCTACTGATATCTAGAAAAACTACTCTAATCTAGTGGAATAGAGTGTGATATGCATTAAATAGAACACCACTTCAATAAATATAGTGGTACTTTCTAATAAAGACTGATTTAATAATATGGTCTAAACTGTTGTAACCTGGTAACATATTTTGAGTTTCCTATTAATCAAGAAGACCACATGGCTGGTAGATTTATTCATAAACCACTTAGGAGACATTCTATCATAATGTGAACCAGTAATTGTTCCTAATTTATTTTCCCTTGAGAAAAGGGACACGATTTGGAATGGAGTTAGATTCAGGAAAATAGTGTAAGAAATAGTTTTCCCTGAGATGAGATTAGATCTCTGAGATCAGCAATTGTAAAGAAGTCATACAGGTTTAATTCTAGCATACCTTATAATGATTTTAAGGAAATCAGAAAATTGTTCTGCAAACCAGCAGCCTGCCATCTTACTACCCCTCAGTATTGTTAGCCAGAGGTCTCAGGTTTTCCAGTGATGGTGACAACTGTAATGTGAAGGACAATAGGCCCAAGACTGGCATGGATATTGCGTCCAAAACATTCTTCCTAGAGAAAGTGCCAGCCATTAATAATGTAAGCCAAGAAAGCATTAAATCATGCACTTGCCTTAATTAGCTACATACTGTTTTCCAAGTACTGAGGAAATATTTGGGGGGTTTAGCAGAATAGACTTGGCAGATGAGGGTGAATGGAGGTAGCTTAATCTGTTGATGAATTAGTAACTAACAAAAGGAAACACTAGATGGAAAAAATAGAAACAGGGATTTAGGGCACTGCCCAAGTCCAGGTAGGGGAATAAGTCTTACATCAGGGAAGACCAAACTCTGCAGTTATCCTTGAATCCCTAATTCATGAGGGTATGATGGATGAATAATGCTAGAGCTGCATGGCCCTCTATATCCAGTAATAGCACTATATGTTTCTCTGTGTAAATAATAGGACTAGAACATGTCTGTGATGAAGAGTTGTAATGTTCACATAGGAAGGTCGTCTTCATCTGCACTATGAAAGGACTCTTATGCTACCAATCTTAATTTAAAGTGGTCTTACTGGGTAGACTTTAAGAAGGGAAGCATAATTGCTTTACTAGTTTTGTTTCTCAACATAAAGGCAAAAACACCCTCAAGTTTGACTCCTGATGATCCTTCTATGCATATATTGCAAACAGCAAACTGATGCTGCACCTGGAAGATTAGAATATTAATGATTTTATTATGGTTTTATCTAGTAGTCTATGATAGATGGTCATCATGAATTTGTATCCATCTGGGTGCAGTCAATTGTTTTCTTGCCTTTCATAACATCTCTGTCCTTTGAATTCTAACAATGCCATCACTCAACTGTTTCATATTTTATACAAGTAACTGTTATGACAACATGTTCTCTTTACACTGCTCCTTGAGTAACAACTGGTACAACTATTAGTACAACTTGCTTTAGTATTTTAATCTAGATACTAAATCTCATTCACAGTGCTCCCAAGCTTGTTCCTCTGCAGTGTTCTGAAGCTAGATGTGTAGAAGTACAGTTGCTGATAGTTGCCTTGGTTGTGGATATTTTATTGTTGTGTCTAATCATATTATTCCAATGTTGAGTCACACACTTTCTTGTTATAAAAACATTTTTAAAGCTTCACAGATTTGTAGTCATGACAATATAATGTGACAAAATTAGTTTTGTGTCATCTTAAGTACAATTTTATTGTAGTATAACTTCAAAAGGTTGATAATTAACTTGACTAAGTTGGTGATGTTAGTGGTGAGGGCACACCATATGCATATACTTATATTCTCTCACAAAAATCCATTTTTCAACTCCTCATACCTTTCTCCCTCTGCACTGGTCTTGCTAGGAAACAAGAGAATTTTATTTTACTATAAGATACCCCCACAGTCTTGTTTTCAGGCACTGCTTGAGGATAGTCAGAAGTTAAACTTCCCTACCAAGATTCCAGGGGAAGAAAGACTGGGTTGGGGGGGGGGTCATTTTAATCCATGGTGATCCAGATAGACACATTTCCTATTTCTCTGCTATTCTAAACATACTGAATGGTGAGGGAGGATGATCCTGGTGAATACTGTTCTATGCTGTTACAGGTTTTGATAGGAAAACAATGTTGCCATTGCCAGCTGGTGGCAGGAAAAATGAACAGATGTTCCTGGAAAGCAAAGAATGTTTGATGATTGTGAATTGCCCATCTAGGTGATAATGGGTAATGTATTCTGGAAATGGACTGGGGAAGCAAGACCCCACTGATTGCTTGTGGACTTCTCAGCAGCTGTTGATTTCATAGTTTGTTAGTTTTTCTAGGTAGGCTTCCTAAACCAGGTATTCAGGACACGATCTTTTAGGGGCCTGCTCTATCAGGGAAGGGGAGGGAGAAGGGAGGAGGGACAGGCAGTTTCAGAATATAATGCAGAAACCTTGTTTTGACCAACAGAATTCAGTTCTGTCTTCCTCATGCTTTCCAGCCCTTATATGCTGAGCAACATTATCTGAAGGTTTATACTTGAGTCCTTAGTTTGCTAACCTATCTCCATTTCTTTTTGACAGGTACTACAATACAAGTACTACATTTGGGTCTGAAATCAGTAATATGCTGAATGAGGGCCAATAAACTTGATGTTGAATTCAGACAAGATAAAAGTACTCTTAATGAAACAATAGTTTGTTCAAAGAGATGGTGTCCAGCTCTTCCAGATGCAGGGTAATCCCCTCCCTGAAGGATTAGACTTACAATCTGAAAGTACACATCTATTTGGCTTTGTCAGTGGAGAACCAAGCATCATCAGTAAAACAGAGCCTCTCAGCCCTTAAAGTCACCCATATGGATATCTGCAAGGGTGAGAGAAACGGAGCTGAACAATAAAATATGCATGGTCTCATCATGCAAACGCCATGACTTATGTGTTTGTATTAGACATTGAGATACGAGTACATAATCACGGCATTTATGTGATGATGTCACTGTACATATCATTTTGGTATTATGATTTGCTGCAGATACTGCTGCTCTCATGGGCAATAATAACTTGGCCATCTCCAGAAGGAGTATTTTGAAGCATAAAAAGTGGGCATTAGTTGAAAAAGCAGCTACCTTGATTAGAAACAGGCACTGGGAAAAACTTTGCATGACCTTAAATAATGCCATTAGCTTCCAAGTGATTACAAAGATGGTTCTACTGTTATCGCTAAAGCCCTCCCTGCATTCTTGCAGAAGCAGCTATTGACTGTTCCATTAAGTTGCCTGACAATAGAGGCCATCTTCTGAATTCCCTCTCAGATTTCTTTTTGAAATGAGTTGGGTAATAATTTGATAAACAATTTTGTCAGTTGTGAAATCCCTTTAGGGAATTTCCATCCATCACAGGAGGCCTGCATATTTGAATATCTTTCCTTTTAACTACTGATTTCAATGTGCATGATTTCAATGTGTTTTATTACTCTATTTTTTTATAAGATATTCTCAGGATATGTCTGCTTTAGGCATATACATTTTTAGAACAAAAATACAGGACAGTGGGAAATCACTTAATCCTTAATGGGAAGATTAAGTAGGGCAGTGAGGTAAACATACCTATCTTAATACTGAAGTCATTCTGCTAGTAATTCTTGCTTCGGCTTGACTGAACAATTGAGTCTCATAAATTTATTGCTCATTACATTTTAAAAATACATAATTGAATGCATCTCTCTATTAGAGCTTTCCGCCCATCAACATGTTTAAGTTTATCCTCTACAGGCTCCCAACTTAAATCAAGTTGAACCTGTTTGTAGTAGCTCATGTTTTTCCGTCACCCAAGCAGTGAATTACTAAAATGTGTCCTTGCCCAGTTTCATTAAACTGTAGTCCTCAAAACTGTCAATATTAGGCTTTAAAGGTAAACTATTCCTTACTTCAGCAATTATATGTCCAAAGAAATAATGCAAGGACTTTGAAGAAAGGTGGAATATAATCAAATGATAAGAAAAAAGTGATCCATCTTCCAGTTAAACTTACTGTAGCTTAAACATTTGTTCTAATTTATAAATTAACCTACCTAAGGCAGACTATAATTAATTAATGTTTTATATTTTGGTAAGTCAAAGCCTGTTCTGTTAACAAATTATTAATCACAAGAATCCTCCACTCTTTTGGTTGAACTTGACATGTTTCCATCAAAGTGTGGGTTGAAGAAAAATACACAGTTTCTATCAAGTAACTGTAGGAGGTGGCAAAATTATTTTTCCTCCTGTGTGAGTGAACTCTTTATTCCTGCACAACTATTTTCAAACACTGCCGGCCTACCTTAGTCACCATGTCAACTGCAATCCATCTGCTTCTCTGCATAAAACCTCTGCCATCTGTTTGCTTTAATGTAACAGAAAGAACTAAGACAACCTATTTTTATTTGCTGTCTACAAATACAGGAATACATACTTTGGCGCAAGAAATGCAATAAACAATCCCTTGACTGTAACTGGTCAATTGGGAGCACCTGAAAACCACCCTGTCTCCCTAGACAAACTAATAATAATGTCCATGTAACTTCACAAATATTTAAAGATGATATGTCAACACTCATCAGCAAAGAATATAAAAACATTAGAACAGAATGTTTTCAAGGCTTCAAGAAAACTTCAATCAATGGATAAAAAGATAGGTTTCCAATGAAATTATAAACCAGAGATGAGAATCTTTTTTCCTTCCCTCCCTTAGTTACTTGGTAAATCGTTGGGACTGGCAGGCTCATAGTTAATCAGGCCTGCTCCCTTCTCTTCCCAGGTTCTTAATCTCCAGCTACAGAAAGGAAACGTTTGGAGGCTGAAAATAAACCAAATCTGTGATGGGCAATGATTCTATTGAACTCCATATGTATACATATGAGTAGATATGTTCATAGCTGCACTGCTGGAGTGCGTAAATAACATTTCCATTCACTCACCATACGTGGTGATGGGGAACCTTTATCCCTTCAGCTTTCAGCAGTTACAGCCAATAAGGGATGTTGAGGGATGCTGACAATATCTCCTAGCAGCTTCTACTACTAGCTTCATTGGCTGCTCAGATGTGTACTTCAGCAATATTTGGAGGCCACAAAATTCCTCATCTGAACTTTCAAGATCTACCATCAGTGAAAGTACTTACTTTAATCCAATACCTTCTAGATGTGCTGAATGCAACTCCTGGCATTCTTGTCAGCAAAACTATAGGTTGATCTGATTGGGGATGGGAATGTAGTCCAAAACTTCCAGAGGGTGCCAGATTAGAAAAAGATGTAGATAACATTGGTCTGCATAGACTGTCTCTATCCCAGTATTATTCCAGTATTAAAAAGATAGTGTTTCATTTCCTGTTTCTTGAAACTAAACTTTTAATCTTAACCATCTTATGAGTAAGCTCTTATGCAGTGACTAAAATCAACATCACAAATTCAATGATGAATAGTTTCTTTGCAAACATTAAACAGCACAATGCACCTGTTTAGATGGTGAATATGTCAACCCATTATGATAAAGACATACAGAATGGAAGTTTAATCGCTGAGGGTTGGGTTCAATAAAAGTACAATTCCAGTCCACAAATGACAGAACAAAGTAACTACCACTTCTTTAGATCACTTATTCTTGTAAATGTTATTTTTGATATAACAGCCCATTAATATTATATAAGAGAAAAACATTTTGTGACAATCATGTAAACAGACCAGTTTCTTTATCAGCATGCAGAAAAATCCCTTGTTTAGATTTTGAGCTCTACAGAATTTTCATGGAAATAGAATGATCAGTGAATTTAGGGAATAGATAAATTTAGGGTCTCAATCTCATTTCACCATTCTAAACTGCATAGCAGGACAGCTGGATTGCACTGTTTAAGACTTAAATGATATTACTGGAAAGCTTGATGGTACAAGATTCAGGATTATCTTAGGACAAATCACATGGCTTCAAACTATTTCCCAGGTCACTCTTGAATGAGCTGATAGCTTAGATTAAAGCATTCTACAAAGTAAATGTTGAGAGTTTCAATAATGAACTTTGATTAGGTTTCTCATCATAGGCAACTTCAAGTCAACAAAGCAAGGCATAGTGAATTACAAGTGGGTGATTGTAATACAACCCTCACAGTGCAACTTTGCACACTAGAATGTTTCTGTTCATCTGAATTTTAAATAGATGAGTTGTCATATGCTTAAAAGTACTCTGAATGACTGTTCAGACCTATTTTTTCCTAAGCACAATATTTGAATTTTGTCTGGAGGTGCCCAGTGTATAACAGATCCCAGTCCTTTCAAGAAAGACACGGCCCAACAAGAACCACCTTCCATCATGGGAGTCAAGGGGAGATAGCAGTTTGGGGGTCAATAAAAAATATGGTATGCATTTTAATAGATAAATGGAAAAATACATATCCTCTCATTAATTTCCAGCATAGCTTCCAATGACCTAGTGAGAAAGGATGATAAAATGAATGATCCCTGAAGGTAGTCAGCAGCAAATGGGCATGATTTCAGTTGTGATTGGAAAGACATGGGAAGTCAGCGGAATCTGC